GAGAGCCATTGCGTCAATTATTTTTGTACCATCCATATAAAATATATAGACTTTTACATTTTCTAAGATATCTTCTAATGATTCACCAGGTGGAGTTTAAGATTAACCAAACCAGTTTAAGAAAATATTACATCAGGTCTTACTTAAATATGCTTTATTAATTGTACTACCTTGTCCTCCTAACCTTTAATCCTAAAAGAAAGTACTGCCTTCCAGGTGGAGAAAGGAAAAGAGTTAACTGGAGACTGGCTTTTGGCATAAGAGGCTGACTGATCAAAGTAATAATTACAAAGTAATAATCAGCAATTTTGCCCTAATAAATATAGTTTTCTGTTTATATAAAATGTATATAACATACATTGTGTGTTGTAAATAAACAAAAAAGATTAATCTGGGATTCATTATCTTTGTACAAGACATGACACTGGTCACAACTGGATCTTGTATTACTATTTAAAAAAAAAAATAGGCCAAAAAAGCAACCTTAGTGTGTTGCAGATTTTGAAAAAAACTTTATCGATCTTGAAAGTAGTTCTTCAGGAGCACAAAAATTTTTCGCAAGCTTGAAGGAGCAACTGAAAACAATAGGCAACATAAGCAAACATAAATGTTGTATCATTTGTTGAGGAAAACAAAGACACATGAAAAACTAAGATATTAGAAATCTGAAAATGTTAGGAAGGAAAATAATTAACTAAACTGGATTGGAATTAATACCATTAACTAAAGAATAAAACTTGCATACATGTGAAAATAGCTTAAAAGAAATGTTGTTTATTAATTAAAAAAGCTTTATTGATAATTTTTGCAGAACTGAGGTCAAAATTGTGATTAAGTGTCCAATTATGATTTACTATGCATTATTTCTACTTTTGAAACATAAGATTAATATTCCTTTACACAGAATTTTAAATATGTCTTTTTTGTTTGGCCTGACATACGACAAAATACAATGATAAGATAAGCTATGAATTAAAATCAAGGGTTCATAAAATCAGAAAAGGGATTTGCAGGAATGAATTTTACTCAGAGGTGAGAAAATGATCTGAAAGTTAAACTTCCGGGGCGAGCATCTGAATGATTTTGTAACCTACGAAAGAATGAAATGGATTATAACCAGCAATTTCACAGCATAAATTAACCAGCAAAATTATTACTGGTTATTTCTCATACCAAAATATCTTTCTTGATAGATAGAGAAAAAAATTTAAAGGCTTTATCAATGATACAATACACTTAATGTATACAATACAATATACATAAGAGTAAAAAAGGATGCCATTTTTTTATTTTAGCAGAACAATTAAAAATTTAGCATAGGCAGGTGAGGGAAACAGACAGAAATGGTAAACAATAATGCTGAAATCAAATTAGTTGCAGATAACTAGGGAAGAAAAGGAATTATCAAATTCAATTTCAACAATGAACTGGATCAAGGATGTCAAACTTGCGGCCCGGCCAATATATCAGCAAATAATAATATATAATAATAAAATAACATATCGACGAAGAAAAAAATGAAATGTTTACTGCTAAGTAATTAACGATAATTTATTCAGTGTTGTTAGATTACTCACAGCGAGCTGACACACACACTACTTAAATTACAAATGCGTGTGAGTAGCTTGCGTTCAGCTACCTTCGGCTTTTGGGAAACACGTGAACTCAGAACTTGTACGCATCCCCCGATAGCCAAACTCGTGGTCTCAGTTTTCCAATCATAGTTTTGTACGATATATTGGTGCATGCACTTTGCTTTATTATTAATTATTACTTAATTCATATTGTTACGGATTTCATAGTTACTATTTAGTTAGTTTTTTTAATTTAGAATTGTAATTAGATTTGCTTCATGTTGCCTTAGCAACGCAGACGATTTTTGAAAAGAGCTGCGTTGGAAGGTTAAAAATATAACAGCGCGTGCATTTAATACCTAATAAATAATATCTCCTAATTTCTGTTGCCATCCCCAAAATCCAGATATTTATAGATATTTCCAGTATATTCGAGAAATTAATTATAAGCTTATAAAAGCCGAGAACAAACAACTCATCTCAGTAGTAGCTGTAGTTCTAGCGAACTGTTTGTTTTACTTAATGCTGTGATTGATTGTAGCGATTTCGCTGCGAGATAGAATTAGTTTCTCTGTTTTGAATTGATTTTTGCTAACGTTTGACATTTTGTGATATTGTTAGAATATTTTTGAAGAAATATTTCAGCATTTTGATTTAACTCTTGTGGAAAGAATAAATTTTTGTTAACCTTTTAACGTTAACCGTGTTTATTCCAGTTCCTTGTATCAGTATGTCTATATCAAAACCAAGTGGTAGTAAAATTAAACGAAAAATCGCTGACGGACATACGAATATTCCAAGTAAACAAAAAAATGGGAATTAGAATATTTTTTTTTGCTGTGAAATAAAAGATAAATAATCTGCTTGATATGTAATAATACTATTAATGTACCAAAGTTATATAATATTAAACGTCATTACGAACAACACAAATCGAAATATAACAATTATGAAGGATTAATGAGAGAAGAAAAGTTGAAAGAGCTCAAGTTAGGAGTGAAAAAGCAACAGTCCATGTTTAGTAAAGTATTGCAAGAAGGTGAAGTGGCGGTACACTCAAGCTACGTCCTGTCCGAGTTGATAGCTAAACATTTGAAGCCTTTTACTGGCAGTGATTTCATCAAGGAATGCCTAATGAAAGCTGGAGAAATTGTTTGTCCTGGAAATGTGAAGGCTTTTCAATCAATTTCATTGTCTCCAAAATACAGTTGCGGAAAGAGTTATGATTTAGCCGCGAATTTAAGTGATCAGATCAAAGCAAATCATCTAGTTTCGAAAGTTTCTCCATTGCCTGTGACGAGAGCACGGACATTAGTGACAAAGCTCAATTAGCAGTGTTTCTTCGTTCTTGTGACAAGAATTTTAACATTTTTGAGGAATTACTGGAACTAATACCGATGCCTGGTACTACCACAGGAGAAGATATATTTACTTGTGTTTTTGGACTTCTGAAGAAATACAATTTACCTTTGGCAAAATTAAATTCTGTAGCTACAGATGGTGCTCCATCAATGACCGGAAAAAACAAGGGCTTCGTAGCATTACTAAGAAAAAAACTTGGTGAAATTCACGTTCAAACATTCATCATATGCATTGTATTATACATCAGAAGTTCTATGCACGAAGTAATAAATATGGAGAATGTTTTGTCATATATAAAAAAGTTATAAATTTATAAGATCTCGAGGTTTAAATCAGCGTCAATTCACTGCTTTCTTAAGTGAGTTAGATAGTGAATATTCGGGTTTGTCCTTACTATACCGATGTATGTTGGTTATCTTGCTCCAAGATTCTCAAACAATTCTGGGATTTGAAAGAAGAAATATACCAGTTTTTAAAAACGAAAAATCAAGACGTAAGTTTGTTTTACGATCCAATATCGGATACAAGATTTATCTTTCTTGGTTGATATAACAAAACACTTAACGATTTAAATTTATCGTTACAAGGAAGAAGATCATATCATTACGAACATGTTTGACATAAATTAAAGCATTCAAATGTCAACTAGTTCTTCGGGAAAAAGAACTTAAAAATGAAGATTTGACGCACTTCCCGACGTGCAGGCATGAACAAATCAAGTTTAGATAATACTTGTTCGTATAAAAAATGCAGAAAAAATTGCAAATTTAACAACTGAATTTGAACGAGGTTTAATGATTTTAGTTCCCTCGAAGACAATTTTTTTTTTTTGTTTTCTCCGAATTTCTCAATAAGTATTGACTCAGTACCCAGCCATACGCAAATGGAGGTGATCGAGATTCAATGCAACTCAAATTTGAAAGCAAAATTCATTGAAGTGGGCGTGCCTGAATTTTACAAATATTTACCAGCCAGGTTTGAGAATACTCGAAAATTCGCATATGAAATTATTTCCATGTTTGGTAGCACTTATCGTTGCGAGCACTTATTTTCAGTCATGAAAGGTAATAAGTCTCCTATTAGAAACCGTATTAATGATGCTCACCTTGAGTCAGCATTGAAAGTTATCACTGAAAACAAAATTTCTCCTGAAATAGGAAAGATAATAGCAGAGAAGAGATGTCAAGTATCAGGACGTAAACATTACATTTTTCTTGTTCTTTTCTATATAAATATATATATATGTGTTTATTATTGTATTATTCGAAATAAATCTATGTTTCTATGAATATTGATTTTTTTTTTGCGGCCCGCCTAAAGTTAAACCTTGTTTGTCTGGCCCAAGCGTACCTATGAGTTTGACATCCCTGAACTGGATAATTAGCTCAATCACACTCATATCATATAAACACCTTCAAAAAAATCTTCTTTATTACAATCAAAAAATGAGAACATGTCATCAATATAGTGAATACAGAGCTGAAAAGATAGTTTTTGAAATAATTTGAACTCAAAATAATGCACGTAAATGTTAGAAAATACTGGACTGAGATATAAGGTATTAATTCACTCCTTTCTGCATGCCTTCGTGTGTCAGTAGCACACTCGGCGTGTACTCGAGAGGTGCAGGTTCGAGTTCCAGAGAGGGCATTGCACATTTTTCAGCTCTCCTGCTTCAAAACAATCTAATGATTTTATGGTGGTGACTGAACTCAAAGGTGGTGGACGATGATTCGTCACCACCACAATTTGGCGAATGGGTCCCCTAAGAGTAAGTAGTGATAAAGATATTCTGTATTTATATTTTGACGGAACTAAATAAGGAATAGTTCAGTCATTAAAATCTGAATGTTTTATAAAATTACTTTGAAAAATAAAATAATAACTGTTTTAAATAAGATACAGTAACATGCTGAACAAGTATTAATTTAGAAGTTAAATTTAATTGCTATGAAAATTTGAAAATATAACGTTGATTTTTGTTGTTTGACTTCTAATTTAATAACTGTTTTATTGCACTTATTATGCAAACATATAAATGAAAAATACACAAACAAATTTTGTCCATTTTTAAAATTTATTTTTGAACAATGTAACAGTTTCAATGCTATAATAATGAAATAATGTTGAAATAAAAGCGAACACAAATTTATTTCCAAAAATATTTTTTCTTTCAACAGTGATATAATTAAGGAATTAACAACAGCATAAAAATATAAAAATAGATTAATAAGTATATACATATATAATGAAGTGATATTTTTTTGATACAGACATATTTAGCGACAATAAAGAATATGTCCAGTTCAATGCACGCTTAAAATCTGAGATGCAAGAAAAGATTTTGAGGATTGCAATGCAACAGAAGAACTAACATAACCTGCTTCAACACAAATCATATTCTTCCATTCATCATCGTCAAAATCTGTCATAGATTTTGCATTTTCTATCCAAGGATTCCAAATGACTATTAAAAAAATTAGTCAGAGTAATATATTTATAGAATATCACAGAAAATGTAAGCATAAAAATATTTCTTACCTGTATCAGGAAGATTAAATTTTTCAATACTTCCTTCACGATCACCAGACAGATTCTTTATTTTGTGCACCACAGAAGTATTTTTATAAATTCTAAAATAAATATATTGAAAAATAAGTTTACACATATACTAGTTTAGTGATTGCACAACATGCTCAGTAAGAAATATAAGTAGTACTAACCGATCGGTGAATTCAGAAACTGTGACTTCTTCTCGATCTTCAATAAATTCTTTACCATTTCTGACCTAACATACATAGCAAAAAGTTACAAAATTGTGGACTAAGGCAACAATGCAAATGACTAAAGGATTAAATTGAAAAATAAAATGCAAATCATATCCCATTTAGCTCAGCTAAGCCTTTTTTTTTTTTTGTTAAGGGTGCAATCTTTAATACTTTTTAATGAAATTTGTTTTAAAATTTATTTGCAAATGTTTTTAAGTTTCCTTTTTGCATTAAAAGTCCTGAATATTTATTAAAAAGAAATTTAAAAGCTTATATCAGTATATAATGCTGACTGGTTACAACTACATTATATTTAGGAGAATCATGTAACACTAAGTTAAGCAAATGGCTTTTAATGATAAGAATTAAGTAGATAATTTTAGATGCTAAGATGATGATCTTTAATGCTGCATTTCAGAGCATTTTAAAGAAAACCATTTTCCAAATATTTGCATTGGCTCATATGCATGCAGCAATTTCTTACTGAATACAACATGTACTTACCTATACCTTTACTCTCCAGATTTGACCCCTGTTAATAATTATGTAGATAATTTTTAATACCCTATTTCACAGCAAAATAATAATAATAATAATAAAAAAACTATTCCAAATACACCACATTACAAAAAGATGTTTTTTTTTTCACATTCACAAATATGCATAAGACAAATTTTGCTGAAACGAGGATGTGTACAAAACCCTTTCTCTATTCTCTAAACCAGCTCTTGTGCAATTTCTGTCTTTAACAAAAATTAAACTTCCAAAGAATTGCACCATTTGCTTTTAGAGCACAAAACCCAGATTAGAATTTACAAGTCTTTTTCTATTCTGATTACGTCAGTGTTTGCACTAATGTAGAAGAAATGCATACATCACTATAAATTGTATGATTTTCTGTTACAAAAATACAGCCGCAATATTTAATATCCATTAAGTGTATAAATCAGTCATGGCCAAACTACGGCTCTCCGACATCTTAACTGCAGCTCAGGTGACACTTGCAGTCCTTTGGCCTTTTGCAGGTTAATCATATTTGAGGCAGTTTTTTCTTTTTGTAGTAATTCCTTTTGCTTCACAAGAATCATGATCCAATGTCTTGGAAAATTTGCTATTCTTGTGGAGTATCACTTTCATTCAATCCTTGAATGGTTTGGGTAACTGCTGAAGAAACCTACTTCAAAGAGGAAAATCACTTCCAGGAAGGGGCTCTTTCAGTTTGGGGAATAGTTTGAAATTTGAGGACTGTATGGTTGCAGAGGTAAACTTCCCTGCTGATACTTCCCTTCAAAATCCATTTCCTATCCCTAATCAAGTCAGGCAATGTTTTATGGAATTTTTCCACAATTTCTGCAACCATTCACAGAAATAACTTCTTAATAATCCTAGGTAGAGATCTGGATTTATTTCACCAGTGGTTGAACATCTTAGAAATTTTCAAGTCGCAGGAAAAACGGATTTCTCTACTGGATCTTTAATGCCAGCCAAAATTTCTAATTCATGTTTTGTCAGTTGCCATTATTTGAGAAAGAAATCCTTCACCTTCATCAGCTATTCTTCGTTTCAATAATGTTGCATCAAGCAATGAGAAATAAACCAGACACAAGCTATTCCCTGCAACAAAGGATTCTGTCAAAATGCAGCATACTCATACTAGTGCTGGTTAAATCACTTTATTTACCTTCTGATATTTTCTCATATGTTGCTTCATGAACTTTTTTCTCTCTTGCTCAGTACAAATATTGCAATAGGTTAGGACTGGCTAGGCATTTTGCCACTGGGAACTTCTAAAAATTGTTGTTCCTTAAGTATGCTGTTCAGTGCAGGTCCCGGCTGTGGCCACTACACTTCGTGTTGATACTTAATTTGCTGATGTTTTTGTTAGCACAGTAGCCCAACATAAAATTGTAGTATGATCCACTACCTGATCACTACAAATATAACACAGTTTAATGTGAAATTCTGTTGGACATTAACCCCGTAAATTTCGAATAACAAGTGTGATCTCTATCTTCTAAAATCGCAGTACCCTTACATGCTGACAGACTCCATTACAGATTTATTTTCTGTACTAAGTTGTATCAGGCTTCACTGTCAGGCTGAAGGTTAAATAAAAAAAAGTATTTATTTAAAATTTTCTTTTGGGTTATTTTACTTTGAAATTTAAAACAAGATGATAAGTCATTTGCCTACTTTTATTGGTCCAACCATTTAATACTTCGAACAGGGTGGATTTGAACATTTATATGACAAGAGCTCAGGAATAAATTATCAGATAGTCTGTTATGTCAGAATGGGGCTTAGGCAGATAGCCCTCAAGTGCTTTTCCATAACCAAATAAACCAAACCAAAGCATTATTTATCTACATTTGATGAAAATTTCAGAAATAAAATAAATGGTACCTTGTCTATGTAAGTGCAATCTTTTAAACCAGTGACTTTACATAATGTCACATCTGGAACAGAGAAATAAGTATGCAAGAGGAATGTGAAAGAAAATGATGAATCACCTGAAAATATAAAATATAGTATAAATATATATAAATTTATAACATATATAATTTAAAAGACAATTTTTAATACACAACAAAATAAATTAACATTACAAATGTGTTCACATTCACATCATATCATATTCATTGCTCTATGTTTATAAATGCAGAACCAATTTACAGTATGATTAATATTTTCATTATGTCTTATCTACTATGACGTGTATATAAGTCACAATATGTTAAACATCATCTTTAAAATACAATATTAATATGTTTGATAATCAATATTTTGGAAATGATTAATATAATAAATAATACTCCAACACAAAACGCTCCACACTACTGAAATTTTTTCAGTGATTTCTTACAAAAATCATTCAGAAAGTAACAAACATTTTAATCAAGGAAAATGCACACTATGGATCAGAATCGTCAAAAGACAGTAATTTTAGACTATTCACCTATAAAGAAAATGCCAAGAAAATACAAGCAATAATTTTTATTAGGCAAAAGACTGGTTCCTGAGGAAGGATTTATATTTTTATCTTTGAAAATGAGAGTTTTATTCGACATCTATGCCAATATGTGTTTGCTTTTGCCTAATTTTAGATTTTACACTGGTATTTTTCTATTCCAAAAACAATTATTAATACAAACTTCTGAGTTTATGTCTTATACATCTCACACAGATCCATAAAAAACAAAAGACTGCATGGACAGCATACAAGCAGAATGCTCCATAGAAATTTCAGCAATCAACAGATTCTAAATAAACTGTACAGTAGTCTCGCAAACATCATCTGAGAGGGTTATGAGTTACTAACAATACTGAGTTTTCAGGAAAAAAGATTAGCTATTTACAACCCATAATATTTTACTACATATTACTCTAATAAAAGTTCTAGCACAATACAAAATACAGAAAAGTACAATATATACTAAAGTAATTGTTAAAATTAAAAAAGAAAAAAAAAACGAAGACATGATTAGTTCTTTCTAGGAAAAAAAAATCTTTTGATGCTAGACTATCTCTTACATTCATTTTTCTTTCGAACAATTATACCACATAAGCGAGAGAATCAAATGCCCACAGTAGGTGCACCTTGCTCCTCTCATTAACAAGACATCTATTTCTTCAGTGGTCTTTTGTCCCTTTCATCTCTTTTTCTTCTGATTCACTTTTATTTTTATCCTCATTCTCTTCTACTAGTGCAACTCTTTTATCTTCTCCTAAAAATTTAGTTTTTATCCTGCTCAACCCATTCTCCAACATCAACATCTGTAACTTCCTCACAATTTGGAATTTTCTTCAACTACTTCACAATATTCTGTTTCTTCTCTGCTTTTTTAAAACTTATTTCCTGAATGATTCAGAAACTTTTTCCATGAATTTATATGTTTGACTCAATTCCAAGCTTTACAAATCCATCCCATTATGGTTCCCATATCTGTTTTCTTTAGTTTATTGATCATGTCACACCCTTTCCTCAGTGGCTAAGACAACAGATAAAAGAAGTTTACGTTTTTAGCTCTTATTTAATGCTTTCAAAATGTCCTAGTCTAATGATTGACAAAGTACATAAGTATGGAGAAAAATGACTCTTATATTTGTGTTTCTGTTATACATCAGGATTGGAGAAGGCATTATTGAGAATAGGAGAGTTTTCCGTAGCTGATTTTTCGATTTTAGAAACTTTTTAACCAAGGAAATAAATTACTGATAAAACCAATCTTAAAAAATGGCTCCATTCATCTATGTATTTCACCGATTCCTATACCAAAAGGCAGGTCAAAGAAAGCATAAATTTCATTTTCACAATTTTTTACATTTTTAAACAACAAGGGATTTTCCCCATTTATTTATCAGTGCTAGTTTCAGCTCATTATTGTAGGCAGCATGTTAATACTGTTTAACTCTCTCCCCACTGCTTTTATAGTTGGTGATATTTTTTTTCTTTTTGGGATGCAAATGTTTGAAGGCTCATTACAGTTATAAATTTGATCTCCAGACAGGTCCTCCTTTCCAATTAGACAAAGGAAATTTTATTTGAATTTATGAATGATTTTCAAGTCAGACAGTTTTTTTTTTTTTTTCACAACATTTGTCTGATGTCCTAATACTTCCTGGGTGTTTTCGTGGTTTTCTCCATGTGTAAAGTGTATATGGGCCAGTTTCCCTTAGAAAGTCCTCCACGAAGGCATCCCTCATCTTAGGCAGATAGCCCTCGAGGCTTTGTCATAATCACACACACACACACACCTAATACTTCCTCCACTTGTTGAACCAACCACTGTTCTTAAAATCCCTAATGGAACCTAATGGCTTTCTCTTGCAAAATGGACCCAGAAAATCAGTGTTTCTTTTCTTTCTTTCTTTCTTTCTTTTTTTTTTTTTTTTCTATTTGCTGCCAAAATCACAAATAAGCAACTCACTCACTATCACATACTCACCAAAGCTTAATGGTTGGAATCTCAAGATTTAGCATCCATCTTCAGCTACTGTCAATCTCTTAAAATGGTTTTTCCAACAAATAGATTTTTAACTATATGCATTCCAATGTAAACAATACAAACTTCCATGTCTTATCAGATATGTGAATCAAGAACTGCCAAAGTAACCACTAGAACCCAGTTAAATAAATTCTATCAAAAACAACGGGCAAACTTTTGAAGGAGAGAAATAATACAGGTGGATTTAATACTCAATTTTATTTTTCCGTTGTTAATGAAGATCAAGATATAGCTGTTTTTTAAAATGCATACTGTGTATATGTATTTAATTATGGCAAAGCACACTAGGTCTATCTGCCTAAGGGAAGGGATGCCTAAGGGAAGGGATCTGCTTAAGGGAAGGACTTTCTAAGGGAAACTGGCTTGTATACATGTTACACATGGGGAAAACCACAAAAACGCCCATGCAGCCAGCCTGTTCGTGGGATTCGAACCTCGGACCGAACTTCAGTGTTCAGTGACTTTACTGCTCGGCCGCTGGTGGGCTTAAAATGCATATTAATAGCATTATTAAACAAAACATAAATATTCCACATTTTCAGTGGTAGGATCAAAAAAATTTCTTTTCTTAATATAAAACAAATTTATTATTATGATTTTTAAGAATAAATACATTAAAAATAATATACACAGATTCAGATGAAAGAAATTCCACTAATAAATTACCTGTATTTGTAATTACAACATCCATTTTTAGTTGTGTTTCGCTGATGAGAGACAAAGTATACTCAAACCTAAACCTGCACATAAATGTACATGAATTAATTTCCAGCAATTAAAATGTAACATCCAGCAATGTACTTTGAAATTTAAAATGCACATTCAATTCTTTAAAGAATGCTCACAGGTGTGTAAAGGAATAAATGTATGTTAAAATGAATTTTTTGCAAAATTATTATTCCTTGTGATGTTTATATTTACTTTAGATTAATAATTACTATAAAGTTTGGGAAAATGATAAAATTCTTCATCTATGAAAACAAAGAGTGACTGTACATTTGTCTTTCACATAGATCTACAGTTTTATTCTGATTTTAATGAAACTTGGCACACTTGACCTTCAAAACGAGAGGAAAATTGCTGTCTATGTAAGATTTCTCAAAAGTCATCCCACAGGATCTGCTCTCTTTATATACATATATTTTACATTAATTTAATGAAATTTTTATTATAAACACAAGCTATTTAAATTAAAAGCTTGTGTTGACACTCTGCAAAGCATAAGATATTTACATTTGAAATTTAATCAGAAAACTCACTTATCAAAAGAAGTCTGTTGCCCCACGGGAGAATGATATATATTTTTTTTGTTGTTCAAATTTAATAAACAAACTCAGGGATTTTGAGAAAAGTGTTGCAGCTGCCAAAATTAAAATATTTGAAAGTGAGTTATCTTTTAATAAAGCCATACCTGCCAACCTCTAAAGATAAAAATTCAGAACATTTCTCCCCCAAATTCAGATTTCTCCAAAATTCAGAAGAACATGAAGAATTAATATCATGCTTTGATATTAAAAAAAATAACAATTTATACAAATAGAAAAAAGAAAATTGTACTTACATTAGTAAATCTCATTAAGTAGTAACAAAAATTATTAGGAAACATAAAACAAACTTATGTTACACAAACAAAAAAAAAAAAAAAAAAAAAAAAAAATATTGCAATGAATTTAGAGTGCATTTTTTAGCTTTAGCCAAAAATTCTTTGGAAAATTTCCTGTCATAACAATTAGTTTCCTTATAATGTAAGGATCTTAAGTTTTACTAACGTTTATTTTATTTTAAATCTTTACTATCACTTCTTATTTTCTACTTCCGGCCAGAATTATAAGCGTGAAGGTTTTTATGCAAAGTTTGTCTGGCGAACGCCAAGTATTTAAGTGTGGCCTTTTTGCCAAGCGAAAGAGAGGAAGCAGTGAGTTCGAAGCAGGCCGCTTACCTTAGAAGTTACGCAGTTGCTATTTGCCTTCCAAGCCAGAGGTTTTAATCCTCTTGATAAATTAAACGTATTGTAGTGTTCACAGTCTCTGTGCTACATACGCTTCCTGTTATTATAAGGCCAATCTTACACGTTGTATTTTCTAAAGTTAAATTAGAGTTTAGTTTTTATTTTGATATCTTTTACGTTAGACCCCGAGTGGAGGGTCATTGTATTCCGAAGTACGGAAGTTCATTGTATATAAGAAAAAATAAAGGGTTTTGTATACCCTTCGTCTGTATCCTGTCTACTTACTACAATTAGTGAACATAGCTTTAGTAAGCTCTCTGTTCCTAGTCAGGTCCTTGTATGTTTCCGAAGAAGGTTAGAAGAAACATTGAACCTGATAGTGGCGCCCGAACGAAGAATAACCATGGCCGAGTTTCAAGAAGAACCTGTGCTGCCTGCAGAAACGGCTCAGAATCCAGAAATGCCAGCTGCCGCCCTGGAAGGATTTGGGTACATCGTCCAGACCATGCGCGCTTCGATGAAACCAGAAGCAACGTTTAATGGAAACTCACCGGTAACCAGTTTTTTTGGAAAAATTGGATGACCACTTCATGCTCTACCCCGTGCACGAGTTTCAAAAAGTTACCTTAGCTACCAGCGCTTTGAGGGGCCAAGCGCTTAACTGGTTCAAATGTATCGGCAGAAGTCTCTTGGGTCAAGCAGGAAGTCCCACCTATACTTACGAAAATTTCAAGACTGCCCTACTAAAAGCCTTCCCTGTTGTAAGGGATCGTGCGAAATTAGAAACGGAACTTTTTCAGTATATATCAACAAAGAATCGAAAACCTGTCGAGCTTTATTTTAAGAAAAATTCACGTTTTCAAACTCTTGTATGGAAACCGTCCGGATCCTGAAATAATTCAAGTGATTTTGCCGAGGTTACTACCCCAAGTGCAAGACTTTTATTGAATTAAGAAATCCGACTACACACTGGAAAAGTTATTTGAGCTAGCAATCCAGTTTGAAAGTAGAAGAACGGCGGACGTCGAAAGAAGACGCCAATATCAACACAACAGCGAAACCAATTTGGTACGCCAAGACTACAAGCAAACTCAAGCATACGGCTACGAGAAAAAGCGAATCAGTGGGCAAGGAAACCCGAGCATTCAAAAACAGCCGGCGAACGTCGACAGTTCAATAGCAACCCAGGAAAAAAGTCTCAAGGCCAGGGGAAAAAGAAGGAAAGCACGGAAAGGAAAAATAATTTAAACTAAAACGGATTTCTGCTGACGAGAGGGTGCGGAAATCCGAAGGCCACGAAAACCCCTCTTCCTTCAAGTTAAATACAGTAATGGTGAAAAATTTGACTCTCTTCCGAAGATTGAAGTGTTGGTAAATAATATCCCGGCCACCGCACTCCTGGATACCGGCGCGCGCAGTGTTCCTGTGTGGCAGAAGTCTTTTTTAGAAAGTATTTTCGCAAATACCGCATATATAATTGCGGATAATACGACAGTATTAGCGGCGCAAGGAGAAAGAATGTAAGTGCGTAGGTAAAGTACCTTTGTATATCCGTATCAAGGACGAACAAGTAAAGGTGATGTTTTTTTATAGTAAAGAATTTGCAAGCACATTTAATCCTAGGAATAGACTTTCTTTCAGACGCACAAGCTACACTGGATTTTAATGAAGCGTCCCTTAAGCTGACAATGAAACCAGTTGCGTGTAGAAAAGGTTGAACCGCCAAGGTTAAATCTTGACCACCTGCCTAATGACGAGCAAGATAGAATCCGACAAGTGGTAAGTGAATTTGCTTCCTTATTTAGTGATATTCCAGGATTTACTCAGGTTACTAACCATAGTATTGACACCGGAGATTCATTGGCCCGTTCGTCAAAAACCATACCGGTATGATAAGAATAAGGAAAAAATTATAGAATGGCATATTACCGTATGCTACGTAAAAAGATCATAACGCCCATCTCAAGTAGTTATGCTAGCCCGGTGGTTTTATGTAAAAATAATGATTATCCTTTGGAGCATCCAAAAAGGTGGAGATTCGCTATTGATTACCGTAAATTAAAATCCATAACGAAATATCCGTATATCCGTTACCGATTCATAGAAGAAATTTTAAGGAACATAAAATCAACCAAATTTATGACGACTTTAGACTTAACGAATGGTTATTTTCAAATAGGGGTCAGGCCTGAGGACGTGCCTAAGACTGCTTTTATAACCAAGTCTGGCACTTATGCATTTTTGCGTATGCCGTGCCGTTTGGCCTTTCTGGGGCCCAGCAACATTTCAGCATGGCATGGACATTGTGTTAAGACCTGTTCTTGGAAAGTCCACATTTATCTATTTAGACGATATCTTATTATACTAGTGATATAATCTCGACCAACACAATTAATGTACAGGATTTAAGACAGGTGTTTTCTTTATTAAATGAGGCCGGTCTAAAAGTTAATGTCGAAAAGTGCAAATTTGCAGCCCCTGAATTAAAATATTTAGGTTACAAAATATCGCAAAAGGGATCGAGACAGATGAATCAAAAAATAATCGCTGTACAAAAGTATCCGACTCCAAACACGGCAAAGAAGCTCTCTTCTTTTCTAGGACTTTGTTCATATTATAGGTCCTTTATAAAGATTTTGCGGCTATCGCTGAGCCATTGTTAAAATTAAAAAGGAAAAAGGCAAGATTCTCGTGGACGGCCGAAGCCAATAGTGCTTTCGAAAAATTAAAACAAGCATTAACGCAAGCCCCTGTGTTGAAATTTCCTGAAAAGGATGAAATTTAGAAATTTCAGCGGATGCTTCGGATTATGCGGTAGGAGCGGTACTTTCGCAAAATCAGCAGCCCGTGGCATTTTTTAGCCGAACTTTAAATCAAACACAAAGAAAACTATTCCGCGACCGAGAGAGAGGCACTTGCAGTTCTGTTAGCAGTGCAAAAGTTCCGAGTCTATTTTGGAAAGGCGCCGATAACAGTATATTCTGATCATGCGGCGGTAACTAGATTGTACTCAGGGAAAAATTTATCCCCAAGGTTAATAAGATGGGCACTCAAGCTGCAAGAATATAATCTGGTAATCAAGCATACCCCCGGAAAGGAAAATATCGTAGCAGATGCCCTATCACGAATTAAATTAGACGAACAGGGTAATACCGTAAAAAGTTGCAATGCTTACAGCGTGTACAATAAATTCCCGAGAAACTGTAATAACCGAACTGGGTAAGGATCCTGAGTTTGGAAGTATTTATGAGTATTTGAAGGATCCTGAAAATTTTAGCCACCAAGATATTGTGGCGATAAGAAATAGGGCGGCCCCATTACGAACTAATAGATGGTCTATTATTCTATACAAAAACTACGAATTCCAACAACGAATTTCGACCTGTTATCCCAGCTAGTCTTAGATTAAATATCCTGCAAGAGCTCCATGACAGCCCTTTAGCTTCTCATGCTGGTATTCGAAAAACTATCCAACGCGTACGCGAGGCAGTCTACTTTTCCTGAACTGCAAAAGTTAACAAGGGCGTATGTCCAGTCCTGCCCAACATGTCAAGCCGTTAATTATATTAATTTCCGCCCGGCCGGGTTTTCTAAATAGTATTAAATCCGAATTTCCAAATGAAATAATTGGCATCGATTTATTGGGCCCTTTCCCAAAAAGTCAGTTAAATAAAAGTCGCTATCTCCTTGTTATGGTTGATCATTTTAGTAAATGGACCGAAATTGTTCCCTTAAAACGAGCCTCCGCGAAATTAGTTACTGATTCTATTTTAAATAAATATATTTTAAAATACGGGGCGCCCCTAAAAGTTATATCGGATAATGGTCCTCAATTTGTAAGTAATATATTTGAAGACATGTGCCAAAAACTGGGCATACGTCATTTAAAAATGGTCCCGTATCGGCCGCAATCAAATATAGCGGAACGGGTCAACAGAAATATAGTGAAAATTATCCGTAGTTATGTTAAAAATTTTCATAAAAGCTGGGATAACTATGTCAATGAATTTGCTTTCGCCCTTAGGACCGCAAAACATGATACAACGGGCAAAACTCCTGCTGAGTTATTTCTAGGCAGAAAGATTATAACACCGTTAGATAAATTATTTTATGTGCAACAAAGAGCCCCAGAATTTAAAATGGGTGATATAGAAAAACTAATAAAAGAAGCAAAAAAAAGAATACGGAAGTAGCACAAAGAAAACAGAAGTTATATTACGACTTGAAACGACGGGGAGTAACTTATAAAGTAGGGGATGAA